CACACACACACACACACACACACACACACACACACACACACACACACTCACACACATACATAAATAATTAAAAAGCTTTATTTGAATCCACAGATTGCATTTGTATCCTGGATTCAAATATGTACAGAGATTATAATATCTAATAGAATCTACAACTGTTTCCAGTCATGATCTGGTTCATAAATTTGTAGTTGTTGTTTGTTACAAGCCGCAACATTGATCTGATGTTGTTTTCATCTTGTGAGTCTTTGTGTTTCCAGCTAAATGTGGCCCTGGAGCCTGTAGCAGGAACTACCACAGAGGTGGTTTGGACTTATTTTGTCACCATGATAGCGCCACAACCGTGCAAGTTGCAGTCACAAAACTTTACAGGTGTTGAGATCAATACGAAGGCCAAGGTTGAGGGTGCTGGGAGGGAGAGCAAGTGTGGAAGGGGCCCCCTACTTTACGCACCAGTTTGATACCATCACCAGGTGTTCTGATCAAGTCTTGTTTAAAGGTTTATGATGTCAATATTGTCCAAAACACATGTAACCTCTACTACATCAACAAAGGCTGTTAACACACACACAGTTTCATAATCCACACAATGGAAAAATGCTCTGGTGCAGAATACTCTACCTGGACTCCAGCAGCACAGTAATCTGCTGGGTCGGAGAACATAATGATCCCCTTTGCTCCAGCTAACATGGCGTTTTTCACCTGGTGGAGCAAGACAGACAGAGACGGAAAATGTTATTTATTGCCGTCCTTTTTTTTGTCTGTGTGGATCACAAAATACGGGTGATTGGTTTGACATTGACGAATTGCTTAAAATATTAAAAGATGTGCACAAATGAATGAAATGTCTAACTGTATTCAGCAGCTTTTTAAATGATATCTTCCATTACATTTAACCACAGGTGTAGTCCTTTAAATTATAATATTCAGTGAATGACAGAAATCCTTTAACTGGCAGTTTCATGTAGAATCAAGACCAAGACTTTCCATACCTTATTGCCTCTGAATATTTTTCCATATCGGACAATGACAATCTTCCCAGTAACACTGATGTTCATCTCCTTCTGTAACTGGAAAAAGTCTTCTGTTCGACCATAGTTCACATACACCAAATCCCCCTGGCGAGAGACAGAGGGAAGAGACATCTTAGGTTATCAGATATCAGGTGAGGTAATGTCTAAAATCCTCGTTAACTTTACTTTTACTACTGCTGGGAAGATGTATTTAAACACCCCTGTCAGTATGATTATGTTGTTTGTATGTATGTTGTACCTCGGGTTGTCCTTTGGCAGAGAAGGCACTGTATGGAGGCACAATGTTAGAAACATCTTCATAACCCTCTGGAACTGGCTCAGCCAAGGAAGTGTTAAAAACCTGTGAAAGAAAGATGAAATGGCCCTTTATTATATTTAGTAAATGCTTTACAATGTGTAATGTATCCACTCTCAACTCTCTGGGAATTAGGCAGAGGGGGAAAGTATCTACATTTACTCAAGTACTGCACTTGAGCACAAAGTAAAGGTATTTTACTGCAATACAACTGAAAGCTGTACTAGCTACTTTACAAATCAAGATTTTTTGTCCCGGATTCAACTATTACTATTTCACTATTAGATGATCAATTAATTAGCCGATTGATATCTTAATACAATTTATAAAAAATGATGATAGTAATTTTCATGCAAAAATGCAAAACATCACGTGTCCATCTTGTCAAATGTAAGGATTTGAAAATCAAATTTCACCAATTTGTTTCCCAAATACCGTGATGTCGCAAGGATATTGTTGGGTTGACCAGTGGTGCTTTTGCATAAATAATCATCAGTAATGTGAATATAATGACTAAGTGGATAAAATAATACAGCAGTCTGGTAAGTTCAGAAAATGACATCACTTCAGTGTAATGCAGCCTTTAAAACAGGGAAAACACTTATGCCATAGAACATCATCCAAAATCATCCAATATCTCGTCTCATATCACGATTTAGATCTGATATATTATTGATATATGGTCCAGTCGTAAACTAAAATGTTAATCATGACTGCGTTTCCTGAATGGATCTTAGCAGCATGCTGCAGTATGGCCGTGTAGTATACCCTGGTCTGTTTTCTCCTGTTTGCCTCTGTGCCGTATCATTATCTGTACTCATAAGACACATACAGAGAGATTTATCTCGCCACAAGGCTATAAAAGGACCTTGGACTTGATTGAGCTGTCTTGCAGTGTTGTGTTGAGGTGGAGCAGGAGCAGAATGCAGCAGTATGTGGCTGTATTTCTCGTGTGTCTGTATGAGCTCCACTTGCACGCTGCAACTTTGTTATCTCCCCCAAACGGACTGAGAAGTAGTTGGACTGAATTAGTGTTGTTGTTCATGTGCGTGAGAAAAATCACAATCCCTTTGAACTTATGATCAGCAGGGGTTGAGTGTGGAGAATGGAGTATTTCATCAGAGAGCTTCAAGTGGGGAAATGGGATAGTATCACAATAAGTTTGGCAATCATTACACAAAAGCATTCATTTAAATTAGTTTCTCTCTGAGAACACAAGGCATGCAAATGGTCATTTTTAAATAATTTAAGTGGTAGCTGTGATTACAATAATACACCAGAAACAAGCACAGAGGTGCGATGTAATGATTACATGTGGGCAAAACATGCTTTGCTTTCTTGTCTTTGTTTTTTTTAATGTATTGATCTTTCTCAGCTTGAGTGCATTTGACTGGATGTGTCCGTGTTCTGTGCAGTACCTCACTGCCAAACTCATCAACTATCGAGATGTAATTCGGCTGTGATTTGTTGGGATAGGACAACAGCACATCATAGGGCACCATCTCCACCGTGTCCAGTCCAAACTCCAGCCACTCTTTCCTGATCTGCTCTGCGTATCTTAGATTTTGCTCTGTACCAGCCAGGTGGGGGAGTCGTGTAAATTTCCTGTGGAGAGGATGTAAACAGTTAGTCGCGGGGCTAGCAGTCGCTTACAGAATGAAACATGTTGTCTTTAGAATGGCTGGGGAAAGTGAGAGCCTCCAATGCATGCAAAGCTGTTGTTCTTGTTGTCTGACTTCAATTGAACACAGCATGATGCATATATCTAAAAAGCCTTTCTAACAACGATTAATTTGACTTTGACTGGCTCTGTCCTTTGTATTGAAGTGTCCCAGTAAGTCATGACAGTGTGACAGTGAGCCAGCATGCACAATTCCAGGAACCTGAAGCTGAAGCAGCTACATGGAATCCAGCCACCATTCATTTGATGATATAAACCTGTGCTTTTCTTGCATTGACATGTCACAGTAAGTAACATTTTAAGTAACAGTGAAGTGTAAATTATTTTATCCAGGAAAGCCCCAAATTCAATTTGCCTTTTGGCCACCTCAGACAACCATGTGTAGCTATAGGCTATTAGTCTGAGTACTTTTGTTCAACAAAAAAAATCTTCCATGTGTGCAAGTAAAACGTTTGGCCTCTTGGTGGAGTTGTAACATGAAACATTAGGGGATCACTGCAGTCTTTAGAATGCATCCCTGTATGGCTGAAAGTCGGTGGACAGGAACTCCTCCATGAGAGTTAAAGTATATTTTCTTTCCTGTCAAAATCTCTTTTAAAAGAAGACTACTGTGTTTGTCATTTGGTTCACTTGTGCTGATGGACATGACAGGTTAATGTGTTCGTCGTGCAGTTTACCTGAGGTGTTGTCTGATCTGGTCCGGCTTCATTCCCTCCAGTAACTCCTTCAGATATTTGCTGGAAGTACTTTTGTTTGAAGTGTTTGGTTGTGTTGGCTTTGCAACCCAGCCTACAGCACACGTACAAACAAAACACAGTGCAGACAGTTACTGTGTTACATGCAGGATTTCTAAGTGTTACTCGCTGCCCAGTTGCTTTGCATTGTGTTGGAAATGATATGTTAAATGGAGTTGTGGTTATGGACAGCATGTGTTAGTCTGCAGTGAGCAGGCAGACGTGAAATGTGTCAGAGTAGTGACAAACTAAAAGCTCACACACACAACAACATACCTTCAAGACTCAACAAAAATCAGCAACTGCCTCTACTTCCATTTATACACTTGTCATGGTCAACTTTCCCCCGTTCTTTTCATTGTTAAATAATGGACTTTCATTCATTATCAGCAAACACACAGAGTACAGTAGATATCCCTTGCAGATTGAAACTTACTGCCCAGTGTAAGTTTCTGTTGTGTTGTCATGTCTTACCTATGATGAAGCCCAGCAACAACAAACCCGTCACAATCACACTCCACTTGATCCACCACATTAACCTGGACTCCTTCCTCATTGTTAAGCTGTACGTCCCAGAGGCTTCCACGCACCGGCACGGCTGACTCTGCAGAGTAGGCTCGCAGAGATAGTGATAGAGATAGAGAGTAATTTGTTAAGTAGTGCACAGTGGAGGCATGGGAGAGTGAGAGAGGGAGACAAAGAGAGGGAGGGAGGGAGGGAGGGAGTGGGGTAGGTGACTTTCTGTGTCTGGCAAAGACAGAGGCAGTGAGTGACAAGTTGCAGACGAATACAAACAGGGAGCCGGTCATTAGTGGTATGTTTGGCCAGTCGACTGATGACTGTCTTTTGCACCCTGGCCATTTATGTGCTGACTCAGTAATACTCAACATGAGACAAGATGGCCAAGAATCGAGAATCCAGCCAACAATAAGCTGTAAAAGTCATAATTCAGTGCAGAAAGGAGTCATGAATGAGTTTCTACAGACTGACACTGAATCTGCAGACTCAGCTCATATAGAAGAGGCGTCTTACAGTAAAGAAGACTCATGATGGATCAACATCTTAATAACAGACTTTATGTTGGTTTTTCCTAATAAGTGAGCCGTCTCATATTGCAATTACCTCAAAGGTCTGTGGAAGTTGACATGTTTTAACTGGCACTAAAATATAGCTGAAAAAAGATCATAGAGGAAAAATAGAAAATCGTAGCATATTAACACAAGCTGCAGAAGCTTTTATTCATATACGAAAGTAACAAATTAGACTCATCGCACATCCGTGGAATCCCTTTTCTACCAACAAAAGACAAGCATCAAAGTTAGACACAATATAGTAGAAACACTCACATTAACTATTTGGACTCACTAAGTCAAAATGATGAGATACTGAGTGAAACATTTCACGTTGAAACTTAGAAAGTCAACCTTCTGACTAGTCAAAATGGACTGATTCATTTACTTCAAACTTAAAGCACTGGTGTATATATTACTGTAGATAATCAGAAATATTTTCCCACACTAAAAGACAAAAGAGGCTGTGTAATCAGAAATATTTTCCCACACTAAAAGACACTAAAAGAGGCTGTGGTTGTGCTCGACCTCTCATGGTCCTGTGAACAGCTGTGTAGGGTGGAGGATGGCTCTTTCATGCAGTGGGCTGGAGCGTGAAGCCGGGGGGGGGGGGCTCTCTGCCCTCAGGAATGTGGGGAGGACACAGACCACCGCTCTCGCTCATCCTCAACACGCTGTGTTTCTGGAGAGAAAACTTTCATTAAGCCTGCAACCGTGAGCTGGTATGGGGAGTTGGATTTTGATTTAATTTGAAATGTGTTGTTTGGGTACCTAAGTTCTCCTGAAACCTGCGACGGAGTTTATTTACAGTTACATGATCAAATGAGCACGACGTAGGGTAATGATTAAATTATAAAATGTAACAGCAGATTAATGTTCTGCGGCGTTTAGGCTCATGCCAGCTGTGTGATTGAAAGTGTATGTGTGTATTTGGGCATAACAGAGTATGACGGACTCTTCTGCTTGATTTAGGAAGCATTTTTTTCAGGCAAGTAAAGTTTTACTATATTGAGAAATAAACCAATTTAGAAATGTCAGATAAATGTTTTGTGAAAAGATAACGTTTCTTTGTAAGTTCACAAAAGTTACATGTACATTTATTTAAAATATTTCCACAACAACAACATATACCTTTACTATTTGACGATATTCAGAGGATATTTTGTCTTTTGTGGGGTTTGAACACAGATGCTCAGGGCTTCACACTTCTGGAACATAAAAAAAACATGTGATGGATGGAGCTATCAGAAAATATGTGGTGGATGGAGCTATCAGAAAATATGTGGTGGATGGAGCTATCAGAAAATATGTGGTGGATGGAGCTATCAGAAAATATGTGGTGGATGGAGCTATCACAACACGTGTCAGCAGGAAGAAACCCAGTTTGTTATGTTTGGGTTGTTATCTTTGTACACTAAATGACAAAAGCGTGATCAAAAACAGCTGCTGAACAGACTAAAGTGAGATTGTCTTGTCAATTACTAAAGACAAGGATAAACTTTGATATTTGCTATATACTTGTGTAAAATATAGTTGAATGCTGTAGCTTTGAGGTTTCCCTTAATGTTGCCCGTTGTGGGTGCAGGTGTCCACATACTTATTATATTTTCATGTTTTTTTTCCCTCCAGCGTGTCCATCAGTTTGTAAATCTCTGGTCCCATACAAATCTCCTCTCCTTACAGCTTCAGCTGCATTTCTTTCTTAAGACACAGGATGGCGCCGACAGCCCACAGAGATGGCTCGATGTAGGCTTCTTGGTGCACTTGCAAGGTACTTACACTTGCAGTCATGTTGCTAATTTCTCCCAAAAATCTGACAATTAATCTACAAATCTATAAACTATATAGCGATATCAGAGATTAACACATTGGTCAGAAATAAGCATTATCACCTCTGAAGCATTGATTATATTGCTTTTGCCACATTGAGGTCACAATGAGGCAATCAATAAAGGGTTAATACGGTGTAATGAATGCGTTTATTATGATTCATAAATCATTCAGGGATGCTCTATAGATCAATTATAAGACATTAATAAGAACACATTTGTGATCAGCAGATTGTGAAAATCCCTTTGGCAGATATATTCCTTTTCAGTTTGTTGAAACAAATATTGGAAATCTGCTCTCCCTATAAGTGAATAAGTCATTTATAAATCATCCTGTCTATTCCAAGTGTTAATTAATTAGATGTTAATAACACCTGCAATAAGTAATCATTGGTCTTACCTGTCAATGGGATTGTTCACAACCTCATTACCCCAAATTTGTTCTTAATTAAGACTATGGCGCCCTCTAGTGACAGACAGGAGCAGTGTGGCGTGATGTTTATTGTTCCGGACGAATAAAGTGAACCAACAAAGTCACTTCTATTCAAGATGTTTTAACGACGCAGCTCGCCTAGCGTGCAGGCCTGCGCACTGAAACGAGATGAGGGGTAAGATATGTCCTCCTCACCGCTGAGACTTGTGGGGGGGGGGCCCGGGGCGGCCGACCGCGGGGGCGGGAGGGGAGGCAGGGGGGGGGGGACAGAGCGCACGCCGGCCGGTCTGTGGACGCTGCAAACAGGCAGTCAGACGGACGCTGAGCTGCAAGGGAGGACGAGCCTTTACCTTCTCAGCCACACACACACACACACACACACACACACACCGAGGTGTTGGTGGAAAAGTTCGCGGCAGCTGCTGAGCCAGTGAAGGCATCATGACTGTGTCGTTGCGGAGCTGGGTCGCCAACGAGGGAGGAAAGCACTTTGTCCTGGTGGGGAAACTTTTGTCTGTTGTGTTTTACATCTGTTCGTGCTCCACTCATTAGAGGAGACTGTTTGTTTTGCCCGCAACTAAAACTTCTACCAACTTCCATCCTGAGGAGGCACTTAATGAATGGACTCTCAGTCAGTTTGCCAATGCTCTTAAGTGAGTTTATTGTATCTTATGTGCTGTATCCATACACCCTACTACAACCATTATATGCCATGGTTTTCTTTTTTTGTTAAAGATCAAATGTAAATCTTGAAACATAAAATGTACATGTAAATGTGTGTTTCTATGTCTTGGTGATGAAAACAAGGATGTATCTTAGACTATACTGTCCATTCTGTGCTGTGTGTGTGTGTGTGTGTGTGTGTGTGTAGATGCTGTGGCTAGGGGCGAACACCTGGCTCTTCCTGAAGACCTTCCTGCTGTACTACACTGGACAGCAGTATCACTACCTCTACAAGATGCTCGGGGTGAGACTCGACAAATTTACATACTGCACACTGCATTTATTATCAATGCTCAATACCCAATACTTTTAAAATGATTATCTTTAATCCTAATTTAAACAAAAAGTCTGCCCTACCACCAAACTACGGGTTTGTAACCTGTGCTGTCAGAGGTGTTGAGGAGCTAAATGTTTTAGATATCAAAGTTATTAAAGTTTTTCAGATTCTGTCAAAGTTTTTTGGATCAGTAAACTGACAATCTTTGGAGATAGACAAGAAATGCTGTCTTTACCTGCAAGTTAAACTCTTCCTTTACTGTATATTTGTGAAAAGGTTCAAACAATACTACGTGGACCGTTAAATAACTAATATGTACAGAACAAAGGATTTGGTTTGAGGTATGAAATATTAAGTTCATGTTGTTTACTTATTCCCCCAATACAGACATTTGACTCGTCACAGTCGGAGAAGCACAGGTGTAAACAATAAAATAAAGGATGGCTGAATTCAGGGTCCCGGTTGTGTGCGTGCTGGCTGAACATCACACTGACATCGTTAATGTTATTAGTAACACTTGAGCTTTTCTCACTCATGATGAGTCAAAATGTTTGCTGTGAAAAAGACCAACGCTGGGTCTGAAATCACCCCCCCCCCTTTTCCTATGTAGTTACTATGTTTTATTAGTTCAGATGGAGGAAAATCATGGAGGAAAATCAACATCGAGCTTCTTTAAAAGCTATATTTCAGTGGAGCGCCTTCGTAGCCGTGTGAATGCAGCGCATGCTACATTACCGACAGTTCGATTCCAGCCTTCGAACTGTCAAATGAAGGCAAAACAAAAGTCTTAATAATTGCAGCCTCAACAGTGACACTCAAGGAGAATAAATATTAAATATAAACTAAATTGGACCCCAAATTGGTCATGTGACACTTCCTGTGACTTCCTAGACAGTTTTTCGTAAGTAAAGGGACTAAATCTTTGTTTTTGAAGAAACATGCTGCTCCTGGCTTCAGAGATTTCTATTTATATCACAGGAGCAAGTTTTGTGATGGATGGTCGACTGTCACATGCAATTAGCCACAACTCTGTGTGTTTGTGTGTGTTTAGAGGTCGGCCAGTCTGTGCCGGTCCAATAGTGACGCGAGTTTGGGCACACACTCACACAAGCTCACACAGAATCAGAAATTCAATTTTGATGCGCACTGACTCATGTGAGCGTTGGTGTAATTGTTGTCACAAGTTCATGTTAGTGTGTGTGTGTGTGTGTGTGCGTGTGTTTTTGTGCCAGAGAAAATGTTCCTCACCTCCTGAGAAAATCACACAAATGCCACTGACTGTCCAATCACCTGAGACTTTCTAAGCTCAGACGCTGCCTGTTGCTGTCCACCAGCTATTTGCTCCCTAATTTTCAAGACATGTGTTCGTATTCAGTCAGTGAAGAAAGTGCGATATAAAAATTGATTGCAAGAGAGTTGTGTGTAGTATGGAATAAAAGAAACAGCATGTGTGAGCTATTCATGCTCTGCCTGTACAGTGGGAGGCACCAGGGAGAAAGGGGCAAGTATGGGCACGCCGCTAGGCTTTGACTGAATGCCTTGCCGGAGGGCTTAAGTTTACGTGTGTATGCGTGTGCGTGCGTGTGTGTGCGTGTGCGCGCGTGTGTGTCTATGTGTGCACATGCAAGATTGAGATGTATTTTGAAGCTTTAATGCAGCTGAAAGGAATTTAGATTTATCTTCAAAAAGCATCTTCTCACATTCACCTGTATGGTTTAGTGTTCGTGTGTGTGTGTGTGTGTGTGTGTGTGTGTGTGTGTGTGTATTTTGGTAGTTTGGAATCTACAGACAGCAGGATATCAGATATCCTGCTTGTGGTTTTGCCGTCAGCTACTTTTGTATGGAAAGCTGTGTTGAGTGAATGTGCTTGGGAGGTTTTTAAAGGGTAAAGGTATCAGACTTTTAAGTGTCGACCTCGACTCGCTATATGTAGATTCTCACTCTGACGTGTTTGTGTGCTCCATTCTTATATTTCAGATACCTTAAAGTATGCCTTGCACCTCTATCTGTTTCAGTCCAGGTTGTTCTCATACACTGCTCGTAGCTGTAACTCCCGAAAGTAAATAGTAAATAGTCATAAGCAACTTAAAAGATGCTGATATGTCAAGCATCTTGGTTAACGGCCATGAAATTCAACACTATTGAATCAACATGAACTCAAACAGCCCACATCCACTGTTCTTAGTGAAGTAACAAACTCTTTTTTTTACCAGCCACCTTTTCAGTCTACAAAGGGTTAGAGTTAAATACTCACAAGATTCGGGGATGGAGTACTTCTTAAAATGTTGGACTGCAGTTTCACACATGACCTGTCTCTCTATCTCTGATCAACTCACTCACTCACCTTCATCTCTCACACTAGTTTCTTCGGGGTAATCGGAAGAGACGGCACCAGCGGTGCACAAAAGAGGCTGCCAAGAACAGGGTTCAAATGTGCTGAGTTTAGTCGACGCCAAAGCACATCCAGTGTTTCCGCGTGAAAACATCTGTGATTATTGAGCTGTAAGCTTGAGATTTGTAAAGACAGATGGCGGACATCGCTCCCATGTCACTTCAGGTAAACTGGTCAGGTGCCGTGTCCGCTCAGATGTTCTGAGATGTAGTAGAAATGCATAATTAACAGTTATTCATTTGGCAGATGCTTTCGCACAGAGGGACCTACAAATGAGGTGCAGTTTACGCCACATTAGATCAAGGAGAAGCCTTTGAGAACAAGTGCCTTCCGACACACACCTGACACAAGTGGCCACGAGGCTTGCAGGTACATGAAGTAGAGAAACTACAAGAAAGAGTGACAAAATAAAAAAGATACTCTGGGCGGTGAAAGGCACAGGAATGCTGGTGTTTTAATTACAACCGGAGGTGAGTTACTGCAGTGCGGCCCACTGATTTGGCAGTTGCTGCAGCAGCAGTGGCTGTGACACACAGCTCATGGAGGCAATTAAAGTACTTTAGCTATTTCTTCTCGGAGTCACAACTCAAGTCAATTCTGACACACATATTTTTGGATTCAGTGTGACTTAAAAACTTCCATGGATTGCCATTATAGTATCAAATAAATGTTCATGAATCGGCATAGAAAAAAAGATCCCTACAACTAGGTTTTCTTCACTGACAGTTGTCTGTACATCCATCAGTACATTGCATTAAGGAACGGTTAATTGTGCCTTTTATTTGCTCTGGGAACAAAATCAAACAACAGGCGCACAGTGTCCGACTTTAAAATCCCTGGTTTATTGGAGCAGGAAAACAAGGAATTACGCAAACTTTCATGCATCTGTCTTTGCGCAGAGTTGCTTGTGTTGGATGCAGAAACAATAATGAACTAATCTTTTTATATAAAACTTACTTTTGACATATAAAATGTTGTTTTATTTCTGATTGATTATCATTTAAAATTGATTAACCTCTGTCGATATCGATTTTTATAAGGATATCTTGAGTTCTCTTTTAAACAGTTAGTCTTTGTGTGTCATAATCCCAATCAAAAACTAAATCAGTGTTCTGTTTAAAGGCAAAGCCTCAGAAGAGAGACGGATAAAGGAAAACGATTATTAGCCTTCACACTGAGAAGGACAAAGACGGTTTTCAATAGCCCTGTGTGGCGTGGAAGTCATGCCTCAAACCCTCAGTGTGCACTTTGAATAGTCCAAATCTGAATAGGAACAGCTCAAAAGTGTGTATCTTAATCCGCCAAAGCCTTATCAGGCTGCATCAGGCCCCATTTCAACAACCTGACTAACAGTGTGTGTGTGTGTGTGTCTCTTTCTGTCTTTCCCAGCTAGGGCTGTGCATCAGCAGGGCGTCTGCGTCCCTGCTGAACCTGAACTGCAGCTTGGTGCTGTTGCCCATGTGTCGCTCCCTGCTCACCTTTGTCCGAGGAACACACACGGTAAGAAAGAGGTGGGGATGGAGTGAGGAAAGAGGGATCGGAAGAATGGGTTCATTGAGTTAGAAAAGTGGGCGGCTACACCAAGTTTATCTTTTGAAAGACGTAAAGTTGAAGGATTTGTATGTAAAAATGCAAGAAAACGGTTATACTTTTGGTGCATTATTTGTAAAGTAAATGTAGTAAGGGGAAAAGGATAAGTTGAAATTGAGTTGTGCGCATTGTATTTCCCTTGAATCCCAGCCAAGAAGATAATGCTATTGTCTGTGTTATAACACCATATGCTCCTGTAGGTATCGAGCAGAGAGACTCGCAGACTGCTGGACAAGAGCAAGACCTTTCATGTGGCGTGTGGTGTTTCCATATGCATCTTCTCCGGTAAAAACTAATCACCACAGCACATATTTCTTCATGTATCACAGTGTGTGTGTCAGTATGTGTGTGTGTGTGTGTGTGTGTGTGAAGTCTGGATAAATGGACCCAGGCTGCCTCAGCATTCCCGGCGTACCAGCTGTGATGTCCCTTCAGCTATCATGTGTTTTTGCTGTCTAGTTATGTGTGTGTGTGTGTGTGTGTGTGTGTCTGTGTTGTTTCTCTTGTGAGTCTCCTCTCGTGACATCATGGGAGCTTCTAGCAGCCGTGTGTCCGCTGGCTCTCTGCTTTACAGGCTTCCTCCTCTGATTCATTCATATCTGTACAGTAACACGTGACTCTCTTGTTCTCACGAAAGAGACGACCTAAGTCAGCACTAGCCACCGATATATATATACAGTATATATAACCCCATGCTGTGTGCTTTTCCTCACAGTGATCCAGTCATTGTGTAGAGATCCTGTTGCTGCTATAAAGATCTATTGACCAGTAACATCGTGACAGTGGCTGATGAGTGTTGGGATGTGGCTTGTAGAGACAAAACTGATTTTCAAAGCCTCTAAAATTTCAACAGGGACCTCTGAATTACAATGTCCAACAACTCCTCCACCAGACAGCATGTAGAGGAAGACAGAATTGATTTCAAAGGCATTCTTCAGCGATTTAGTATTTAGTTTATTTACATTTAGGGGAATCGAAAGAGACAGATAAAAAATGCATGGTCAAAATCAAAGCAGCAGATAGCATGACTTTAGTTTCTAGTGTGGGTCAAACTCCAGTAATACTAGATCCTACACAGGATGCAACTCAATCTAGGCTATCATAGTATATGATGTCTGCATGGTAAATGTGCATGTCTTGTTGCTAACATGCTAATAATGACAATGTGAACATGCTGATGTTTAGCAGGTTAACTGTTCACAATGTTCACCATCTTATCTTATCTTGTGACCCGATGATGAGGAACACTTTGTGCCAATCCACCCAAAATAATTGGGATTCGTCCTCTGTGCCAAATTTCATAGCAAACCATGAAATAGTTGCAGACACATCATTGCAAACGTTGAGATATTTCAGGCTGGAGCAAAGCGGTGGACCGACCAAACAACATTTCCGTCATTAGAGCCAATAGAACGATCTGGCATCTGTTCTTCACAATTGCATCATCTGTTAGCTTAAGTCTTATTTCATCATTACCATTCACTTCCTCAACTCTTCAACACCTCACACACACACACACACACACACACACACACAAAGCTCTCATGTTCTAATATCAGAGTTCCACAGCTCTGAGACAACAAATGACAATGAAGACGGAGAGACAGCAGGAGGGAGACATAGACACTGAGAGAGGAAAGAGAGGGGGGGGGGGGGGGGGGGGGGAGTAGTGGGAGTGAGAAAGGATGTGAGTGAGAAAAAAGGACCCTTGTGTCTCATGATTACGCCCTCTAATTCCATCAGCTGTCGAACGGCTGCATGGTTAGCCTATGATGTCAGGGAGGTGTGTTTGTGTGAGTGAGTGTGTTGGATTGTGTGTGTGTGTGTGTGTGTGAGTGTGCCAGTGAGTCAGGAAGAATGTTTTGCTGACTTTCTGCTGAATAGACAAAGAGATGCTTGTAGGAGTGTCCACTAGCAGTTCATTTTGACCTTTATAATTAAATGTGTGTGCGTTTGAAGCAGAGGAGCTGTTCTGTTGGTGTCTGTGCACAAAAATGTGTGTTTTAAATCAGCAGTGTGTAACCCTTTCTCTCTTCTTCTGTAGTTGTACACGTGTCGGCCCACCTGGTGAATGTTGTCAACTTCAGTGTAAGCTACTCAGAGGACTTTCCTGCTCTCAATTTGGCTCGCTACAAAGGAGAGGTGAGACACGAACACATGCAGATTTGCACTTTATACTTGTGAGGACCCTCATTGAGTTGATGCATCCCATGGCCCTCTAACTATAACCATCACAACGACATGTCTAACCCCCCTATCTTACCTTGACCCTCAGGCCCAAACGCATTCATGGTGTTTCACTCAGTTGTGCACATGAAATTTGATGAAAGTAGTTGTTTGAAGAATGAAAAATAAGGAACTTGAGAGGGAAATATCAATCCTGCACCTCACCTCTGCACAACTGACCAAACATAAAGTGAGCAATTCTTTATTGTTTGTGTTTCCTTCTCAGGACCCCAAGCTGATCATTTTGACCACAAGTAAGAGGAACTAATCTTTCTTATACAGTGTTGCGTAAAGACAAAAGATGTGTGTCTGCATGTGCATGCTGGTATGTTTTTTCTTTTTGTTCTGGTGAAGCAGGGTAGGTGGTAAATGTGTTGCAGATTAGTGTGGCTTTATGCCAAGAGGAGAGGAGGTCCTGCTGCGTTTAGTCCTGTCTTTCTCCTCTCTGTATCTTTGCTGTTTAAGTGGGTAAAATAAGTTATTGTAGAAAAAAACAGAATTGCTTGCTTGCTATTAAATTAAAGTTAAATTATGAGGAAATATCTAAGTTAGCAGACTTCTCCCTTTACATGTGTCTCATGTGTATGTGTCCTGGGATGTTAGTTTGACTTTGTCTCTGCTCACTAATTGGCTGATTCTCATTAGTCCCAGGAGTCACAGGCGTCCTCTTGGTTCTCATCCTCTTCCTGATGTTCACATCCTCCTCCTACTGCGTACGGTAGGTCAACCACACCACCATCTGTAAAAGCTTCCTTAAGCCTAAAGATCACGTTTTATTTGTCTTCTCAATGCATGCGTGAGAGAAAACCTTTTTTGGATTTGTTCGCTACGTGAGCAACTTTCATTGGAATGAATGGGAGCCATATTGGAGCCTTTGGTTTCTGTGCTTACGCAAATGTGTCTCTGCCTCTGTGTGTATGTCTTTGTGTCAGGTCTTTCATTTCTTCTCTTTTTCTTTCTGTTTGAGTTTATCTTGTGAGAGAGAGCGATGAATATAGGATGGAAACCATAAAGAGACATGCTAACAGATGTCTGTTACAGAGCAAACCCTAGCTAAGTGCTCCACTCACAGCTCTGTCATTACTCAGGTCAGAGCGGGTCACACATGAGCCCATGCTGGTTTGTGAGACCTGAAGTGTGTGTGTGTGTGTGTGTGTGTGTGTGTGTGTGTGTGTGTGTGTGCAGTTGTTGCAGTTGTCCTTCAGTAATTGAACAGAGGCTTTTCCAGACCACTCAAGGCTTTAGATAAGAGTTGGGGTTAGTGTTGTCTGGAGAGGTGGGATGAAGGCCGCCGTGCACCAGAAGAATATGAGTCACAATGATCCAGTGATATGAACACATATTAGTGTGTATATAGTGACATAAAATGAAAATTGACATAAAATAACTTTAGTTTAATACCTTTAAACCTCTAATAGTTTATAATGCATCTCTTCAATCATAATGTATTTTTTTTTAAATGAGAAAAAGAAAAGAATAAATCAATAATGCCTAAAGTTGTTTTTTTCTGCGTTTATCTAACCTTTTTAATTAATTTAACTTTGGTTCGTGGAAAATGATTTAAATCTATTGTTTTATGTTTAGCCCCAATCTATGAAAAATTGGACTCGAACCCAAGATCACAGTAAATATAAGGGCAGTTTTAATACATTTTTGCAACTCCTCATCAACGTCAATGGATGATGAGGCATTGACCGCCTAACAGGGTTGAACATACATTTTGATTTAAATTGAAGCAAGCTGCTCAGTCCTCGTGGTGTCTCTGTACTGAAACGTGTGCAAAGAAAACAAACATGAAAGAAGTGGCAGTAAAAGAGGATCAATACAGGGTTTGATGATGATCAGTATTTGCAGTGTTTATTAGGGGGGGGGGTCTTTGTGTGTAATGACCCCTTTAATATTGACCTCTGATGTCCTGCTTACTCAGGCTCTGAGCCGGGAGTCTGGTCCTGAACAAACTCTGACCTCGCTTTCTTCTTTTGTTGTCTGTGCTCTTTTTGTTTCTCTCATTCTGTTGTTCCCTTATATCATGTTACAATGTTATTATTCCTCATTTACATCGATTTTGAGTCATTTAATCTCTTATAAAACATCCTAGGTGTGACATAGAAGTAAGAGTTAATTTGAAAATAATTACACATTTTGCTATTTTGCCTTTTCTTCCCCCAGGTTGTCCAACTATGAGATCTTCTGGTACACACACAACCTCTTCATTGTCTTCTACATTATCCTTATGGTGCACATGGTCGGGTAGGTCTAGAGGCGTAGCTATCTACGTGTGTGTCCGTGAGTTTGTCTCTGCATGATCGGTGAGTTTTTCTGCACTGTTAGTAGTTTGTCTCCCTCTCAACCACTTCCTCCAGAGGAAAAGATAAGACTTATCTTCATATATGAAAGTCAGCAAATATTGGAGATAGCTGGAGACATTTCCATCAGCAACTTCAGACTCTGACTGAAACGCCATTTCATTTCTTGCTCTGACAAAAGTAAAGCGAAGTTTTTCATGGGAAATCAGTGTGCAGGAATTTCTTTACTTACCTCAACTGTAGAAACAGGGTTTGCTTGCACATGACTGCTCTCTTTTTGCAGTGTGTTGAGTTGTCTTGTATTTAGTGTGGTTGATTTTTTAATGACAGCCTGTATCTATACGTTGAAGCCTATGTGAAACGGCAGTATTTGTTTTTGATATTTCCTTGCTGGCAATTTCTTGTTTCAGGCTGAACACACAAAAACATACAAACACAATCACACTTACTTTACAGGAGAGTTTCTACTACACATGATCTGCATGCCTTAGACATTTTGAATGATTGGTATTGCCATTCCAACATATTATTGCCAACTGCACGAGTTAGTCTGTATTTCATTATATCAGGAGGTCTAAATGTGGCATTTAAAAGGAGATCAAAATGCTCCTTTTGGATAATGTGAACAGTCATATTTACTTAATGTTCTTTTTCTATAACCACACCTCAGAAATCCTAAATGTTACTCTAAAATAACCAAACTATGTGAATTTTCTTTTGTGTCAGAGGAGCTCTGAAGTATCAGACCAACGTCGAGGCCCACCCTCCAGGCTGCCTCAGAGCCAATCAGAGCAGCGCAGAGCAGCAGGGCGAGGAGCTGGAGCAGGGTGAGGATGAAGAGAGGAGATGCGGAGAGGAGGCTCACTTCCAGCCACACTACCCCCAGGTCTGTGTGTGTGTGTGTGTGTGGTTGCGCACGTGTTCGTACCTCTTAAGTATGTTTCTGTTTTGTAGAGGGTGTGTACGTGTTGTGTTGAGTATTTGGGAGGTGTTGGAGGGAGTTGGTCCTGTTTATTAGAGGTGCAGTGCTGTAAGGGAGGGGCAGGCATCCTCTTTCTACATCAAGGCCTGTCTTTGTGTGTGTTTCTTCCTGAGTGTGTGATTATGTGTTTGCACACGGTCGTTAAGCAACAAGCTGGTTCCATAAAATCCCCCTTAAACCCGATTGTGCTCTGCAGGGTTTACTGGAGTTGTGAGCAATTAGTCTGCGACAGGGAACTGCCAAGAAAAAGAAACAGAAACACTGCACACGGTGATAGAAGGGTCCAAATAATTTTGCACGTGTTCTCATGAATATACTTTCTTTTGGATTCAGAGCCCGCTTGTGTTCTTCGTGAAACAAGTCGGGAGAATACAACACATAGATACAACATAAGATTCCCAAAGCTTCCAGGTCTAATGTTGCACTCTTTTGATGTCACAGATCGTAATGATCGACCAGCCTAGTGAGAAAACTGTTTTAGTCAGCCTCCTTTTGTCACATTTTTTTACATTTACGATGCGTTCATTTGGCAAAGAGAACTACTTAAGTGGGCATAAATCGGTGGCAAAATGGCTGCAATCGGCTAGGGATCAGTCACTGCATCCTGTGCTTAGCGGCACCCACAGCGTTTGTGATTGGTTCACTGAACCAACACTGAACCAACACTGTCACAGCCATGTGGAGATAGCTCTGGCTATACATCTAGTTGAAATCCGAATTTAAAACTCATGCTATGTTCAAACTACAAGCGTCAAAAGCAACAAAACAGCCCAGCGAGCCGCCGTTGAAGTGTTGGTCAAGCGTAGTTGATTAAGTTATGTCGTTAAATAGCACTGGGATCTGGCTAATAGCATATTTTAGATGGAACGGAACAGGGTTAAACAACAATATATGATTGGTTGAAACTTTACTGTGTCATTAGAGCGCTGATAAAAGTTTGGACCAGCTGAACCTTAATTTGTAACCCATTACATAGAAGTATTTAAGAAAAATGCTGACAGAGAAAACTACTTGTTTACTTTAGTAGCTATGACCGTCAGGTTTATTGGTCATGTGACTGTAACTATGACTCCCTAAAGTAACGATATCTGAACTGTGCTTTTCAACTTGTCTGCGTGTCTCTCTGTCTGTTTGTAGACATGGCTTTGGGTGTCCGGTCCTCTCTGTCTTTACTGTGCCGAGCGTTTCTACCGCTACATCCGCAGCAGCGACCCTGTTACCATCGTGACAGTCATCCGGCACCCTTGTGACGTCATCGAGTTGCGCATGCTTAAGAAGAACTTCAAAGCTCGTCCCGGACAGGTGAGAGGACATGACATGTCCAAACATTTTGTTTTTGGTACATCTCAGTTGTATTCATCACTTTACTATTTATTTAATCGTAGGATGTTTTTGAGGTGAATATAAATTCCTCCGCTGTAACTAAGTGAGGTTATTTTAAGTAAAGAGGTTCATCTTATTCTTTCTGATGTGACTCCACCTTTGTTTCTCTCCATGTGCTCCCTTTCTAATCCTCTCCCCCTTTCTCTCTCTGTGTCGTCCTGCTGTCTCTCCATCCCTCCCCTCTCATTCTCAGTATGTTGTTCTTAACTGTCCAGGTGTCTCTTCATTCGAGAACCATCCCTTCACGCTCACAACGGTAAGACTTTATGTAGCACATTCCTCACTCATGACACAATGCAAACACACACACACACACGTCTATATACTCACACACACATATGTTTCTACAGTTTCTTAAACTTTCTTCCCCCCGGCAAAGAACATCCAGTTCTTTGTCTCTCCCAACGTCCCGCCCTCCTCTGCTGCTGGCTGGCACTTGAATGACAGCTGGGTCGCCCAGTAATATTCTGCTCCACGTTATTTGTTAGTGTTTTCACATTTAGTCCAGATTGTATGAGACAAAAGCAGAAGACAAACAAACAACTTTCTGTTTAGTCAGCAACTCAGCATTCAGGAATGGACACACACACGCATACACACACACACACACACACACACACACATCAGCGTGTGCATGCCTATGCCTGATGTGTTATGGAGCTTTGAGGAGGAAGGCAGGGAATCACACTGACAGAGAGCAGACAGACCCCTGAGGCTAGTCTGCCAACAGGAAGGCTTAGTGTGTCTGTGTGTGTGTCCATGTGTGTGTGTGTGTGTGTGTGTATGCATTGTTACATTTATTGAAAAGAGTTTTAGCTGTGTACTGTGGATGTCCACTGGGTTGTGTGTGTGGATGCCCGTGTCTTTGTGTTATTTGCTCATGTATGTTAGTGTTTCCTTGTACTCTCCAACAACTGAGAGTGTGTGTACTTGTATACGTGTGTAGTTTTTTGTTGTTGTGACTAACTGTCTGCTTGCTAACTCCTCGCAGTGTCCCACAGAGAACAAGGAAACTTTTGGCATCCATCTTCGAGTCGTGGGAGACTGGACTGGTGGTTACACACACGCACACACACAAACACACACACACACACACACACACACACACACACATTAATTTGGGGCGACCGTGGCTCACTGGGTAAAGAGGGTAGTCTGGATGAATATAGTATAATAAAATAAAAAAAATAAAAACACACACACACACAAGGACACATTGGGATGCTTACATAGGACAATATGTGTAGTAACACACAGAAAAATAGGCACACACACATTTTCTGTTCCCTATCAGAGTTGACAGGATGTAAGTCCTTTTGTCCCTTCTCTCTGGGGAGGAAGCATTTCTGAAAAACTATCACACACATAGAAACATATTTCTATTTCTCTTTGTCTCTGTCTTACTATTTATGTATGTTTCACCCAGTTTTATTGGTTGGAAAACTGTATTCGCCATGCGTGTGCTCACACACACACACACACACCTACACACACACACACACACACACACACACTCACATTACTCAGTTAATTAACATTTAGAGAGCTTGTAAAATTTCAGCTAAAGAGCTGGAAAAATTTGGGATGTTTTTGACTTTAAAACCTTTTTGCTGTGTTCAAGGACTTTACACACACATGCAGCATGTCAGAGAAAAGGAAAAGTCAATAAAAAAAAAACACTAACCTATATCTTGCACTTTTTTATTTGACTGCATCAGCTGCATTGGTATGCAGAGGACTCAGAGGTGATCACTTCTGGAGGAAACCGTGGCCTTTACGACATATGCACGTCTCTACTTGCTACTGTACACATACACACACACACACGTTTTCAGAACACAGGAAAGGAAGTGGGTCTGTTTGTGTTGGCCCCTTAATCTTCCATGAACACAAGTTGTAAGGAAACACTGGAAAGCATTGAGTTGGAATGTAGAGACACCTATCATGTTTGCATGATACTCTTTATGACCATGTCCATTCTTAGAGAGTTAGATCAGTGGGTGAAGTAATGAGAAATACAACACCTCTCCTCTCCTCAGAGCGGTTCACACAGCTGTTACTTCCTGAACCAAGGATGGACCTGGAGATCCTTCCCATGGTGCAACAAAGGAGATACCCAAAGTACGTTTGTGTGTGTGTGTGTGTGTGTGTGTGTGTGTGTGTGTGTGTGTGTGTGTGATGTGGCTGACATGATTTCTCATGAAGGCTCAGAATCACAGAGGGGTCAGAGGTTTTGACCTCCAGACCTCTGACCCTGTGCTCTTCCTGGTCTGTGTTAGAGAGAGAGAGAGAGAGAGAGAGATAGAGAGAGCGAGAGAGATGAGTTTGTGACAGTAAACCCCCCCTCTGTAAACTGGGCAGAGGTGTGTGACGTTACCCACTTATGGTCAGAAGAAGGGTTAGGGTTGATTTCCATTTAACTGGTGTAGTTCAACTAGTGTAGAATGCATATTGTGCTTATTTAATTCTAATAAAGTGCCACTAACCCTAAATTCATTTCAATGAATTGAGTCAAATTTGTACAAGTGATATTACTTAACACTGAACTTCTCCAATATGCTTTTATTTTGTTTCCAAGCAAAAACAACAGGTAGACATTTGGGAAAATGTGCAATATCTGCAATATTGAAACCAGTTTAATGTTAACGTTAATGTTAGTTTCTGTTCATCAAAGTTGTCAAACCGGTATTTGTGTATTTTTGAATAGAAAGTGAATAGAAAGTTCTTAGTGTTACTGAGCACAGCGCTTGTGATTATGTGACAGTAACGTTGAGCCAAGCTTCACTTAGCCCTGTGGTGGGTGTCTGGGTGTGTAACGGCTGCTGCAGCAATACCAGCCATTTCCTGGGCTCAGTTTTGAGTTTCATGTCTCGTGTTATCTGAGCAGATTTTGGGTATATTTTTTTTTTGTGTTTGACCATGCTTGGTATTTTTATATCTGTCCATTTAGAGTGTGTGTGTGTGTGTGTGTGTGTGTGTTTGTGGGGTCAGACAAGCTGCACCCAGACTGTCTGATTTCAAATGCAGGATGTTTATCTGCTAATGTGTGTTTGTGTTTTTGTCCCCACTGTGCGTTCAGGCTTTACATTGATGGTCCCTTTGGAAGTCCATCAGAGGAAGTGTTCAACTACGACGTCAGTGTTTGTGTTGCGGGTGGAATAGGAGTCACGCCGTTCGCCTGCGTGCTGCACGCTCTACTGTGAGTTATTGAAAACAAACAAACAGACAAACTGATAAATGAAGAATTGGAGCAAGCGTTAATTTGTTTCTTTCTCTCTCTTCCCTCCTCCCTGCTCTACCCCTCAGTGACGGCTGGACGGGTTTCAGGTTGCAGAGGTTGTACTTTGTGTGGGTCTGCAGGGAGCTCCAGTCCTTCTACTGGTTTGCTGAACTCCTGTGTGCTCTTCATCACAAGGTCAGGACAAAGTCTAACAAGCTATACTGTAGCCTCCAAAATATAATGATTAAAACGTGCGGGAGCTAAACTGTGGTTCACGATCAAGTTTGGTAATTTTGTGTGCTTAAATGTCAACATTGTGTCAAAAGATTCACTTTCACAAAGGACTTTTGTAGTTATTTGGCTTTTAAAAAAACAACTAAATCACTGCTCCTCAAAATGTCTGCACATGCTCTGCTTTTACTGTGAATTAAGCCAGTTTACCTGCAAAGATAATCTATTTGATACAGACATCCGGGACTAGCAACGTTCCATTCCTGTGTGTGTGTGTGTGTGTGTTTGCTCCTATGCTTGGTCTTCCTCAGGTCAAAGAAAGTTTTCCGGGTTTTAAGGTGAAGGGAAAGGTCAGAGGTTAAAAAGCGTAAAAGGCTGCAGATTAGCAGGGGAGTCGTTACTTTGACTCATAACAGTAAAAGTTTATATAGAAATATGGATTGATCAAATACTAAACACTCCTAAAGTATCGATCTCTGCATAACTCCAACTCAGAGTTTACTGTCAATTATTTGTTTGTGGCAAATAACTTCTTTACTTCTACTGAAACAGTCAGCAGAACAGATAATATATTTTATAAACAATATAAATGAACAACTTCAGGTTTTTATAGTGATATTGAGTAACAGACTGTTGTTTGTTGTATTTCACGCCATCTTGTGGCTGGTTGTGACTTTACCTCTCCTCTATCAGAAACAAAAGGAATATTTGTTTGTTATGTGTTATATATTTTATCCCAAATATCACTGTGTTGAATGAGACATAATGCATCACAGAACCACTAAAACACTGAAGTTTCCGTGCCTGTGTTTGTCTTTTAGCTTTGGCAGGAAAACAAACCGGACTACTTTAATCTGAAACTTTACGTCAGTCAGACAGACAACCTGCAGGTAGGTGTGACACACACACACACACACACACACACACACACACACACACACACACACACACACACACACACACACACAGGTTTTTGTGTTGATCTTTTCATTTCATTGTCCGTTATCTCTTTTTATTAATCCATTGCTGGTCAGTCTTTAATGATTGAACCCACTAGAGGGCAGTGTATGACAGACAGAGAGAGAAGCTACAGCAGTTTACTGTCTGTCTGTTGCTGTCTGTTGCTCTCTCTGAACTACACAATATTTATTGTTTCAGATTGTTTTAGCACAATCACGTCTATTGCAAACCATTTGTTTCAAACGTCCCACCTTTCCTTGCTGTGGCAAACTGCTATTAGAGACCATGAATTGGAGGCCTCAATAAAGACAGAGCAATAAAACATGACCTGTTATGAGAACATCATTGATTGTGTCAATTGTTTGGCCATATTTTATATCAGCAGCTACCGAGTGTTTATTAAATGATACGTCATTGAGCTCAAGCCAAACTCTTCAGGATCTATTCAAAATGTCAGACATGCACGTGGATTATGTAGAACCCTAATTCAGGTTTGTTTGACTCACAAGCTCCACTTGCTAGTTTTGTTTGGTCATGTGACCAAGTATTATTTTCTCTTTGTTAGTATAGTAGTGAATATCCCCACCTGTCATATGCGGGAGACCGGGGTTCAATTCCTCGACGGGTAGAACACCCTTTTCCACAGCACGCTGCCCCCTGAACAAGTGTACGAGGAGCCACAGAACCAGTCCGTCCTCAATCTGAGGCTTGTGAATTAGGCGCAACGACCCATGTAGTGCTTTCATCCATGTTTATGTTTCGTGCTCCTGATTCAGGAGGGTTCCTGCTCTTAGTCTGCTTAGTGTGTAAGATAGGCCGCAGTAAAGGCAGGAAATCATATAACACTATTGTGTGTTGCCTTACACCTGCACAGAAAGATCCTGACCCGCATCAGAGCTGCTCTGTGAAAAAGGATTGACCAAGGGGATTAACTGGCTGACCACAAAAAAGATGATAATACTTTGCCTGACCTTTTTTCTCACACCCATGTCCTATAGAAATGTCTTGAGATACAGTTTACTGGGCTCAACCAGCAGGCTTTTGCTTCTGTCTCCTCTTTATATTGTAGATGTATATTGTGCTTTAAATGTAAACATAGTTACCTATTAATGGAAAGTAAAACAACATTGTCAACACCGTCTTCTGCCATCTACACAATACATGAAGTAATAATATAATAAAAATAATACTTTGCAACATACAGGAGCTCAGATACATGTAATGGACCTGGTGTCTGATGGATCTATAAGGGAGATTGAAACGATTTTGATCTTCTATCAGTAGCGTACTTGGCTGATACACAAGCAACCCATGCAGCTCATTATTTTGACTTATCATGACAGTGTGGGATCTTTAAAGCTATAGATGTCAACAGTGCTTTTGACACATAAAATAAGATTTTATGTGTCATCAATCTGCTGCTGCATTGTTTAGATGTCCCTAGTTAGGAAGATTTTAAATGTATCATGAAGGACAATGTTCCTGAGTTACTGCTGGATTTACATTTGCTTAAAAACATAATCAACTGAAAAAGAGATAATATGTCAGTGTTGTGTTGGCAGCTTGTTTTCTGTTGCCTTAAAATGACCAAACCAATCAGGTAACACTGGGATGTTTTTGTTATCTACCGTATTCTCCAGAGCATGTCTGAGGAGAAGTACCGTCCACTCACCTCGAGGCTTCTGGTTGGTCGACCCAGGTGGAAGTTACTGTTTGATGAGATTGGGAAGACCAATAAGCAGTGAGTAGAGTGTGAACGTCCTAACCTGACCCGCCAGATAGTTTGTTACACAGACACATTTGTAAAGCCGTCATTGAAAACTGTAAGAAAAGGCACTTTCAAAAAGAATATGTGGCAGGTGATTGGATGAATCATCTGTATCTCTCTCTCTCTCTCTCTCTCTCTCTCTCTCTCTCTGTCTCTCTCTCGCTCTCTCTATCTCTCTGTGGTTTCAGTAAGCGAGTCGGGGTTTTCTGTTGTGGACCAAAGGGAATCTCCAGGACTCTCCACAAACTGTGTAACTCAGCCCGATCCTCTGGAACAACCTTTGAATTCAACAAGGAGTCCTTCAGCTAATCGAACATCAGAGCTGGTCCTACACTTCAACCTCACTGAAAAACACTGACATAATATGAAACTGGCCACAAGAACTTGAATATTCATGGACTGTATTATTATCTCATATGCATCTCCGCCCATGGTCACAAAAAGGCCCAGCAGGACAAGACCTTAACATGCAGCTTTAGGCCTGTTCCTCTCTACAAACCAGACCGACCCCCAACTGACGGCTCTAAAACCTTCAGCTTCAGCATCTGATCCAATCAACCTCTGAGAAAAACTGAAGAGACCAGCCCACTGTGGATTCTCCACTCAGGATGCTCTGTGTTGCTGAAGTTGCTGTTGGATTTCATCTTTTCCCCGACACACCCCTCTGTGTAGTAAATTTGTTTTCTCATGCTGGCGTGTACTGTGAGAAAGAAAAACATCTGACATAACCTGCAATTCGCCGACCACAAACACAACAAGATAACGATACAAACAAGAGGGTATTCATCTTAAAGTGCACCAGGGCTGAAACATCACGCACTATTTTCGTGTCAGCCAAACATCATTTCATCTTTACTTGACACCAAACGAGCTCTACCGACCAAAAAGCATCTGTATGTCCCACTCATGGAATCAGGCTTTGCAGCATCTTTAGACTCCCCCCGCTGAGAACACTTCCTGTGTCTGAAGTATTTGATTGGTGTGTGAGACCGTCACTCATTGGATCATGCGGTGATTGGCTCCTATTAGAGGAAAGGGGTGGAACCAAAACGCACACTTGATTTGGTCTTTTTTTAAATGTTGTTGTTCATCTGTTCGCTGTTCATGTATGTGCATCAAAGACCTGTCTTCATACAAAGCAAACCTACACTACACCTCAAGCCAGTATTCTTAGTTAGTTGTTTTTACAATTTATTTATATTTTTTAAAGTTATTTTATGTTATGTGAAAAAAAACTTCTGCGGGGCTTTGGCAATTTCTCAACAAAGTAAGTGTCTTGTCCTTATTTTATACATATCTCCAGAAAGGCAAGCAGTTACTGTAATCAGGAAAGAGGAGGATACTGGTGAGTTGATAACAATCTATTTGTAAGTTTAACAGCACATTTGTAGTAGTTTATGTTTCAGAGTCAACTATTATTTAAAAGGAAATGTGCCAAAACTGGAAACAGCAGATGTTTGCAAACAATCAACATCTTGATATTTCTGTTGTTGTGACTGAAACAACGGTATTCTCCTAAATTGTGCTTAATAACCATTTATTTAGCATTTGAAATTTGAATATATTTACATGTTGCACAGTACGTCTCTTTTCAGAATTGTCCTCTTTTTTAAGAGCAACCCAAAGCCTGACATACAGGAGATTTTCTAATCATTATATATTGATGTAAGTGGGAAATATTATTTTTTTTCCAATCCTGGAAAAATGTACGTTATTATCACAAATATATAATTCATATTCACAAGCATATACTCAAGAAACAATGTCATTTTGTCAAACAACTTTGACTGTTTAGTGGCATGAACTACACCTAGTTTAGTTCTGTAATCTGCTTACTGAGCTACCTCTACTATTGTGAAACTGAGTCGGTTTTTGTTCAAATTAGCAATAAGATATGAAGTTGACACGACAACCAAAAGCAACTACATCAGTGAGAATGTGAAGTAGCCATGAATTAAACATTGGTACTCAATATACAAATTGCTAACAAACAGGCGCATAACCAAGAGATGACAAAAAAATCACAGAGAAAAACTGGATCTTATTTGTCTGATTTGAATGCAGCATGTACAAACTCATGATTCATCTTTCTTTGCATGATGCCACCTACATTGTCTTTGCTTGTGGAAGATCACAGTCCTCTTGGCACACTGTGGTCCTTTAGCACCATCGCTAACACACAAGAGAGTGTGTTGGAAATTTGGTCGGTGATTTCACTTCTGTAAAACCGTTTTGCACTCAAAGACACTTACACTGTATATGATGAACTGTATAAAATGAGGTAAATCTGTGGATGGTTATACTTGTTCATTCTCTTTTTCTGAGCAATCTTAATGTTTATAATACATCTTGAAAGGCAGTTTGGCTCTCAGTTACGACAAGGCATTTTTACTGATGAAGAGTATTAGGGGGCAAATAATGGGACTTTTACAACCCGAGCAGTCACTACAGCTACAGTACTGCAGACCTGAGATTATCTAAAATTATTAATTTCCTACTAACTTTTCCTTGAGCTAACGTCAATGCAGTTTATTTGACTCTACCTATAGTAGACGTATAGTATTTGCCTACAGTGTGTGGCTTGTGCACAGAATAACAGTTACACTATGAATTTATTTTAATTATGTATCAGGATGTTCTGTGTTTCGTGTCAGTGAGGAAAGTCAAGAAAAAGGGAAGAATATCCACACCACTGCTGCTGTCATTGACTGCCGAGTAGTTTGTGTAAATAGACAGTAAATGTACTCAAAGTCACAGTACAAATAATCACAAGACAATACTGTACTGCAGTGTATACATCTTCACATTTTCATTTGAACAATAACATGTGTGTTGCATTGTATTAATTAACACTTAATGGCTTTGTTTTTGATTGTGTGTGTGTGTCACTCAAAATGATTATCTGTATTCCTGATATGTATCTGCTGAATGTGTAAACTACTAGCGATATCTTCCTGATGTTGGGTCCCTGCTCCTTCTGCATTATCTCCATTTATATTGTCAGTTCACCTAAATCTCCCCCAACAGATTTCCCATTCACCTCTATTGATAAGTAGCTATACCGTGATGTCTTCTGTCACTACCCAAATACACTGGTGGGGGGGAATGTTTTTTTAAATGCCATAATCACCACAATGAAATTCACTTCACCTCCACTGAATTTGGGGGCCAAAGTCTCAGCAGTAAAAATCTCAAAGACAACACATCTGCTCGATACCTTTACAATTTAAATAGATTTATTTTGGGAAATCAATAGCAAATTTGATCTTGTACCAGGATTCGTCTCATGCATTTGCTACATGAAAACACTGAGTGTTCCTAACAGTTCATTCAGCTGTATGTACAGTATCTGTGTGTTACAGAGTAGTCTGATATGAAGACGAGCCTTCCTCTGAGCTGCTGTTCAGTAATGGCTGTCTCTCTCCGTAGCTCGTTGCCCTCTTCCTCCTCTGGTTACGCTTCCACTTCCTTCTTGCAACAATTAGCAGTGCGGCGACGATTACGGCGATCAACGCCCCGAGGATCCCGGCTCCCAGGAGCCACTGCCAGATCTGCTGGGCCTGCTCAAGGTAAGGCGTCAGGAACTCCTGAACAAACCTCTGGCCTGTAGTGGAGATATGATGTTAATCTTTCTTTTTTATACATGACATCTTCAAAAACAATGCAGAAGAAATTATGAAACCTTAGTTGCGAATATTTGGAAAACTGGCTATTTTTAAGTGAATGACTTATGAATTACATAACCAAAATTATGAGAAAGCATAATGAAAACTATGCATAACCATAAATTATTTTCTATTTTGCGCTCTCAATCACCATCTAGCGGTGAAAGATATCAATATATCTGCTACGCCTCTCTGGAACCAATACAGCTTGAATTATTGAATTATAAATGTTGTTGCCACAATCAGACATAGTTCATTCAGTGAGTCCTTCACAATAGGCCTTTAACATCATTTTGCACACTTTCTGTGCCCATGGTAATCGATGCATGTTGCTGCCTCTCGTTATAAATCACATAAATACACAAGTGTATTGTGGTTAAATCAATCTAGTGTATTTCTGTAAGCTACCTTTGTTCACCAACAAACAAAGAACCTTTCAATACAACGTAGAGCAGCCAAATGACCTGGTTTGGTGTGTTGTACACTTCCGTCATTGTCCCCTTTGAGAAACTTGTCTTAAGGTCACAATACAGTTGATACACTTACATAAAATGATATATTAAAATATGATATATAATGAAAAATAAAATATTCTTAAAATATATACAGTTAACTTGTGTTTAAATTTGCAGTAGTACTCTGCAATATTTATATTATGCTGTAATTGTATCATACTCCAAAACATACACACACACACAAACACACACACATACATACACACATATATGTATGTATATATTTTTTATATACATATATAGAAGAAAAAGTAGAAACAATCTTTAACTGAACTTGTTTGTTATTTTGTACTGACCCGGGTCCAACAGGTAGGCATACTCAAATCCTAGAGCCTTGTCGGACAGGAAGTAGTCTCCGTTTCTGTGGAGAGGCAGGAAGGGCACCATGTAGTAACGATCATTGTGGCCAATGGGAGCATTGGCTTGTGGGTAGTTGGTCCGGACAGGCTGGTGGGCTCTGAGCCAGCGCTCATAGATGCTGGAGAAGAGAAGGAAGGAACAGAGAGATAAACGGGATAAATCGAGGGAGGAAGGGAACTGTGGGTAAAGATTGTTATCATAAAGATAGTAAAAGGAATCAAGAAATCATATAATGTTCGTATCAAGGAAGTAGGACGTAGAGGAAGAAAAAGGATAAAGCGAATAATATTAAATGGGAGAGGTGGAGATCTTTAAATATTCTCAAATATGTTGATTTCCTTCATAAAATACTTTTCATACGCATTTTTTAAAAGGTATTAGAATTTATGTATTTTGTGTTTTATGTTTGTATACATGAGTGTCTTGTCAATATCTTTCTGTAAAAATATTAATAAAAAAATCTGTATTTTAAGTAAGTATTTTTTATCAACTTTATAAGACATTTATACATAAACCGACCTGATTATGTGCAAGGCTCCCGTCTCTCTTTTTTCATTGTATTACTTTTCTCTTTTTGTTTCTGCCTCCACTAACCCCTCCCTCTTTCTCCTTTCTAACACATGAATGTTTATTCATCATCACAAACAGATGTGGTTATTCACTGCAGTGAATAGAAACAATTGACCAGATGATGAAGAGATTTTGTGTAAACACACTGTGTGCTCTCTTTGTCCTGTGTGCCATCAGTAGACATGCTTGTGTGCTTCATCCTACCTGTCAATGAAAGCATGGTGCAGCAGGAATATGGGGTCGTTGGCTGAACCCTGCACTGAGGACATGGAGCCGTTCATGAAGACATGCAAGGCGTTGTGCATGGTGCTCTGGCCTGTCATTGCCATACCTGATGTTGGGCTGGCAAAACCTGCAGGAGGGGAGAAAAGTACTCACTTGTGTTTAAAGTGCTCTTTGTGTCACTTTGGATACCAGCTGAAGGCCGTGACTGCAGCAGTCATTTAGATGGAATTGACTATTTTTGAGAGATGCTCTTGGAAAATGCTTTACGGTTACTATTAGTCTCAAGCAACAAGGTATTGCAAAAATAAAACAGTGTTTTATTAACAGAACATTGAATTAGTAATTATAAATAATTATAATTATAATTTTAGTAGGATGGATTTTGAGCATCTGGTGTCTCACCATTTATAGGTTTAAGTGTGTGTGTCTGTATTTGTGCTTGCTTCTCTTTAAAACTCATTAGACAGATTAGACCGTTGATTAGGTTCAGGTTCGATGGTTAAGCATGGAAGTACATTAATACTAAAGTGTGTGTGTGTGTGTGTGTGTGTGTGTGTGTGTGTGTGTGTTTCAACCACTCCTACCCTCTATGACATTTCTAAAGCTCATATTGGCAAATCGGTCCATGGGTCCCGTCTCGTACTGTGTGAGGCCCACAGTGAAGTCCACATCAGCTGTTGTGGGGAGTCTCACCGTGCGGTTGGTATCATGGTTCCCAGGGTTCCGCAACAGTGGACCCTCCCCGGTGGCGTTACACAACGCCTCTCGGTTGTTGTACTCCTCTGGCTGGGTGCAGATCACCTACACGTACACACAAACACACACACACACACACACACACACACACACACACACACACTGTGGTTAAAGAGCTCCACACACAAAGTTTCAAACGGATTTATCTGAATAACTCAGAATAAAGTCGTAGATACATTTTCTGGGATGTGAATACAAAGCCTCTAAAGTAGGATTTTCACTCTGATCTTTTATGCTGACTGGACCACTTAAGGATGAATTCTTTAAAAAAGATTTCATTCATTTCTTTTGATTGAGAGGCTAAACCAGCTTTAGCACAACAGATCTGCTGAATGAAATTGAAATATAAAAAGCCTTTGTTTGTTTAGTGGGGAAAGGCATTTTTAGTCTCTTAATAATGGATAAGAAAGATTGGCTCATATATCTACACATAGTTATCCGTACAGTTTGTGCTCACAGACACACTCACTGAGAGTCAGAGAGAGACGTTTTCTTACCTTCCACGAGGAGAAGACAGAAGCAGGGCTGATGAGGTTAGGATTGAGGGGGCTGCGTCCGCCCATCAGAGCATCGGTGCACACCTCACAGGACTGGGCATCCCTCCAGTCCCAGTATGGGATGGTGAAGTTGAAATCTCCCGTCAGCTTCCTTATCTCATTCTCCCAGTGGAGCAGGTAGACTCGGTGCCACGGCAGAAATGCTGCAGATTCATGGGCAAAGTCAATGTCTCTCCATACGTTCCCTGGCCCTCCCAAGAAGGCGTCCCGGGACACATAGTAGTGTATCCAGACAAACAGGTCATAGCTGTTGATGTCAGAGAACATGGGGTTCTCACCATTTTCACCCATCTCTGCTCTTGTTGTCGTTGAGATCACATAGTCACGGCTGATGGTGTTCTTTGCCAGGTTCAGATAAGAGATGAACTTCTGTTGCTCAGCAGGTGACATGGTCAGGATGTTCCTGCGCACTGACTCCCTGTACTCAGCACAGTTTGAACCCCAGTAACCAAACCTGCATTCACCACAGTTAACACCTCCATAGTTTCCAGCACAGCGACACGTCCGGTTGAAGAAAGCCAAAGGCCAGCGCTCTCTGTCATCGATCCCACTGTGTGGGTACTGTGGCCCATGGGGCTCTTCTGAGACCTCCACCTCAGTGCAAAAACCACGGCCTGACAGGGCCCCGCAGGCTGAGCCGTCACCGTCCCACACCGGGCAACACTCTTTGGTCCGGAGTCCCTCTGAGTTGGCACACGGGCGAGGGAATTGGCATAAAGAAGTCCCAATGAGCTGCAGCAGAACGACAGATACATACAAGCACCTCATGGTGAAAGTCAGACAGCGTAAACTCCTGCTGCAAAGGTGGACACAACAGGACCTGATGTCCTCACAGACTTCAGCTGGCAAGGTTAGACGCAACTGTGGCACAGAGAAGTAGCTTCACCGCCGTAAAGTTACTGCTAGTCAGTAGGCTACGAGCCAGATTTCACACAACCAAATTTGATTTAGAGATGGCTTCTAGAGAAAAATACA